AAAAAAAAAAAAAAAAAAAAAAAAAAAAAAAAAAAAAAAAAAAAAAACATTATGGCAACATAAGCTGAAAACCTCCAGGTCTATAATAATGGTGAAGACTGGACAGAAACTGTGGAGAAGCCATTTTATAAAGAAAAAACATGTATCACACATAAGTCTTCAACCCCATGGACAGAAAAGCAGCAAGTTACTAAATACAGGAAGCTCCACATGTAGCAAAGCTACCTTTCACCTAAGTATCTATAGTCTCTCACATGAATCAATTTAAGAAGTCAAAGAAATATGCTAGACAGAAGAAACTCAAAACAATAGTTCGGACACAAAAAACCAGATAACTAAGACACTAGTTAAATAGTTTCAAATCATAAAAGTCATTTGCCAAAAGTTTTACTGCATCTGTAGTGCTCATGTAGAGCCTGATTGCCTAGATGTGTCATACAAACACTTGCTTTAAGAACAACTGCAATTCTACTGGGCAACTAGAATCCACTTTTCATCTCTAAAGAGTCGAAGTAGTATTATCAGTCTAATTCCTATAAATTATCAGTAATACTCACTCTTTATCAACAATGATTATGCACTGTGATTGAACATCATTGCTTTAAAAAAATTTAACTGCCTACTTCAGCACTACACAAAAGTCTTAAGAAATCCACTTCCTCTGAAATACTTACTGAATGGTATTCAAGATGAGGACAAAGAAGAAACCAGTGGCAGAAAGGAAAAAAAATATCTTAAGCTCACCCACAGTGAAAAGAGAAGGCCACGTTTTTGGATGTATGCATCTGTATGTCCAAAAAAAGGACTAAAGACAGAATAAAGAGTAGATAGACAGACACCAACAGTGCAGTAAATGCATCAGTTGAGACATGGCTAGTAGTATTAAATGGAACACAAAATTAGAAAAGCAACTCTTTTAGAACACAATTACTTATGAAATAATTTAGAGGACAGCCCTCCCCTCTACCCACACCTCAATAACAAGTTTTCAACAAACCTTTGCTTAGACTGAGTTTGCTTTTGACCAGAAGGATACTTCTTATCCACTTCAAATGGACTATATGGCTTCGGAACACAGTAGTTCAGGAACGGAAAACTGGGTAGTTGCAGATAAAACGGTCGGTACTGGCTGCATTAGACAAACCAAGTGCATCAGAACCATCAGAAATAGAAAAAAAGATGTTCATAGCACAAATTACATCAGGTCAAAAAGCCTGCAAAATTGTTTCTCTTTTACGTATGACACACACAGAATGCTAAGCAGATAAATATCCTAAAACAAGCCATTCATCCCTTCCTATAAACTTGCTACTGTCTTTCAGTTTCCACAGTTGTCTTACACATTCCCTGGTGTATGATTTTCATACCTATTAATTGTTGTGAGTTGGGTAGCCAATAAACCTAAAAACAGTTTGGACAACACTACATTTGTGCTCCTGAAAAGTAGCTACAGCAGTTCCTAACATTCAATGCATAATTTTTACTTATTTTCATTGTACTGTTTTCTTCTTAAAAAAAAAAAAAAATTGATCAATTCACTATTCATAACAAAACTTAGAGATATCAGAACTAGCAACCATACCAATGCTCTAAATATATTAAGAATGTTTAAAATAGGGCATGCTGAAGTTCACATACTGGATCATGTAACTGAATTGCTGATGCCAGAGTTCAGCCTGATTTTTTTCCTCCACATTACTATTTTAGGCTACCCAGGCAAAACTAAAAGAGCAAGTCTGGAAGAAATAATAGGGATAGCTAAACATCTTGTTCTGCTTCTGAACTGTTACTTATGTTGCATAAAAACATGGTGCATAAATATTCAAAAGTGCTTCAAGTGTTTAGTACCCATTACATTCTGAAGTCAGACACATATATTTATATAAGAATTTCTTGTACTTACAACTGCATTGATCCAGTTCTTACCACTATTCTCACGTCCCTTATACCTATTACACCAACTCAGTGTGTAACAATGTTTAGATCTCTTTTTTTTTTAATTCAGGGAAGTGTCAAAGACATCAGGTCAAAGAATTTGGCACTTATAAACCATGTCATAAAGCAGAAGTTAGTTAGGAATTCAAAGGTGCAAAACATGCTGTGCAGAACTGCACCTTTTTCACAATTCATTCTTCTGTCAACTTCTGGCAAACTGGCATTTTCTTACACAGCCAGGTCTGATTGAGACCAGAAAGAAGTGAAAAATTTCAAGGCTGAAAGTATCAGATTTCATGCCACTGTGGATAATGAAATCAGATTATTAGCTGGGATTTTTACTTTTAAAAAGAAAGGACTGAACAAGAAATTAAACCTAATTTCAAGGAATGATTTTAACTGTAACAACTTCCCTTTCTTTACATCCAAGCAGTCTCAGCAGGAGATGAATGTTATTGAGTTGGAACTCAACAGGACTGGAATTCAGTATAAGTTTTATGTGCCTTTTGGGTTAAAGGATTTAGATCTAAGAAAAGATGCAAAGGTTCAAAGCTTCCAGGTTTCCCTTTCATTCATATGATCTTTGGCAGAAAGTAACCCGAAGAACCGACCTTCATGATACAAAAACTGGAGCTACCTATTAACTTTCCACTTCCATTACCTATTGCAAATATTCCCTACTATATTAATACTCGCTCAATCTCACTCAGTAGCTGAACACATTTGTATCTTATAAGAGGACAGTATACCCGGCATCTAAAGTCAGGGAGCTGAAGGAAACTGAGATATAAGGACACACTTGATCAAGTAATTCTGAATAACTCAGTTTGAGAACCACATTATTGAATGCATGAAGAGAACCCTTACCGACTTGCATCTTCCACCCTGATGAATGGATTTTTCAGTCTACCTGCTCAAGGGGAAAGAAAATGAAATTAAGAGAGAAATACTTCATTCAGCAAGTTACTGCAATAGGTGAATAAATTAGCAGACTGTATTTTAGTACTCATTATGTACATGTTTTGACACTCTTGAGTTCCACAACGTTTTTCTACATACTTTTCTTGGGCATATAAATTGGGATGTAGCATGACATGACCATGTGAGAACTGTAGTACATTTGTATGCATTCAGAATATAAAGCAAACCAGAAACTTCTACAATTATTGAAATACTTACTTTTTGACTTTTGAGCAGTAACATGTTTTCCCTATTAAAAAAAGAGAGAAGGTATAAAATCCTTTTGAGTATTATTCTGCAGTTCACTTAAAGATTTAGCTGTAGGTAATTTAAGTTATGGGGGTTTCCCTGTGTTAATCATGACTTCATACACAGTCATGATCAATTTTGCAGGAAACTAAGCTCATCAGTAATTCAGAAATATGGTAACACGTTTCCAAAAGAAATATTTATTTCTACACTGAAAAAACCAAAACAAAACTCCAACAAACCCAGTGTTCTCCTTCAGATGCTTCAATTTATTTTTCCTAAAACCAAAACTAAACAAAGAAACCTATGAAGGAAAATTTTACATTAACTCTCTCCTCCCTGAAAATACCTTGCCACGGTTCAAGTTGATTCTCAAATAGAGATAACATTTTTACAACACTTTATAAATCCTAATTATTTGCAAGCTGCAAATGCAAGCTGTAAAATGCCACCAAAACCAGAATACAGCAACATTCTCCAATTAAAACAATTCTTTTCATTTGAATAGATTTACACAGGTTTGGTCTTTGTTTTTAGCAATGAAGATTAAAATTAAACAGAATATTTGGTCTCCAGAAAAAAAACAGTAAATTCTGTATTCAAGCATCAACTGTTAGCTATAATTGATTCTGGTAAAGGTAAAAACTCATTTTATATTACTTGTAAATAAATCCCACCCTGCTATCCATGGACACACTGATGATTCGGCAGAGGATTTTATGTGGCCTCAATAATTAGTCAATATTGCATTCCAAAACAACACTAAGTATTTTCGTTCCATTTCCTTATCAGAGCCCCATGCACAGATTGGACAATTGGACAACTTCACGTGTTTAATTTAAATTACAGAGCAACTCCAAGTTTTAATGTCTCATTATATCATACACTAAAAACCTGAGAAACTGGGACATTCACATGCAAAATGCACATTATTGGCAGATAGCCTGAAGATGCTTTCTGCTACTTCTTTACAAAGGAAAAATTGCAGATTCCTTGTAGTGACAGCTTCTCCAGGAAACGTACAATGATTTTTCAGAACGGCTCATGAAAAGTAAAGGATTTCTAATCACTGTGTCACGGGGAAAGTTATACAAGGCAACTTAATGGCAATTTACATCAATAATTTTTTTTGTTATTTATTACTCTTGAGGCGTGCAGAACGGAAACTTCAGACAGCTCAGCACTTCTTAGATATCCTTCGCAAGAGCAAAGGACTACACATTATGGAATCAATGCTACTACGGAAGTTATGTATTAATAACTTTGATATATATAGCTAATACTTCGTATTTTTTGAAGATGGTTTTTAAATCAATTCAGAAAACATAATGGTCTGTGAAAAACTGAACATGAGCAAAACTTCATTAAAATAAAATATGCAAGCTTCACAGCAAGCAGTATTTAGTGTTTTGGTGTTTTCTCAGTTAACGAAACAAATGGCATTTTCACAAATAGCAAAGGGACACTTACCACATCTTTAAAAGAATTGTCTCCTCTTTTGATTAGATAGAGCTCCCTTTTCTTTTGTTCAATACAATTCCTAACATCTGGCAAAAAGAGGGAGAATTATTCTCAGTTTTTTGTATCTCTGATGTAATTGTAATTTTTAATATTTTGAATTCAGCAAAAGAATAATTACATGAATGTTACAAGTTCAAGTCAGACTTTGTCTAACAAAAATATTTACCATCAATATGAAGTATCTTCACTCCCCAACTCAAAGCATTGGACAGTATACTACCAGAGGGGATTAAATCCTGCAAACAATAAATTATATTAATAATCTAATGCAATAAATAGCAGATTTAAAATAATTACAAATATATTGCAACATGTAATATGAAAGCTGAGATTAAAATGCAGATGCTTTGTTTTTTGCCAAAAGACTACTGCTCGTTTCAACTTACTTTGCAATCTCTGTGCTACAGTACTTTACCATCAAAAGACATTTAAACTTTCAGAAAGCCAAAACTGTTCTTTATTGTCACATTTTATAGCAAGATTGGAACACAGTGAATTGATACATTTTCTTTAACTTCATGAGCACCTCTCAAATGCAAGTTATATTAGCAATCCTGACAACTTTTAATACTTGTCATAAGACTTCACAGACTTTTAATTCTTCAGGAAGTATCCAAAAAACATGATTTTGACAGTTTATTTAGGACAATCCCTCAATTTCTGCCTGAGCATTCCAAGGCTGACTTCTCTCTAAGACACTCTTACTACAGCTTGTTTTCTAGAAGAGCAAAACCAAAGTTTCTGAAGCATGAGTTCATTGATTACTTGGTGTACCTGTTCTTTGATTGCTTTTTCAACCAAGGATTTTCCTCTGCTCATACGCACCTAAATTAAAACAGAAACACGTTTGTAGCAAGGTGAGACAATTCACATGGCTGTTAACAAATACATGTTAGCTATCAGAGTCTCCTTTTGTTCACTGTACTGCTAATTTTTCAGTAATGTGCATCTTCCTCACAGGGTTACAGTTGATACGGTCTAAGGGAAAAAAAACCCCACCAATCTAAAACCACCCAACAAGTAATCATTTTCAGCCAAAGCAGATCACTGCATGGCTGAAGCAATGTTAGTGCTGGAACAACACAGACACTGGGAATAAACAGCCAGTGGCACATACCAAATGGTGTGATGATGAGGTTTTATCAGCTGGGGCTTGTGCAAATTGTCAAATATAATCACAGCCTCTGTCTATCTGCCTTCTTTTCTATCACCAGTCAATCGCCTTTTGTACTTTATGCTGCTTATGCATAACGAGCTGCCTTTGCCTATCCAGGTATTTACAAAATAAGGTTACCTCACCTATGCAGTGCAAAGACTAGCCCGCAGACTGGCTCGCAGTCACATTTCTTAGTAAGTACCACATACATAATACAGCTAATTACTTCCAACTGTATTTTGAAAAGACACAAGATTTGTCCATGTAAGAAACTTCACATAAATCTGCATAAATTCAGATACTAACTTAACAATGTACATGCAATTAACATGATCTTCTAAGAAAGAGCTCAAAAAAGCTCAGCAGTCATAATGTTCAATTTTAATTATTTTTTCAACTACTATCCAAGAGTGCTTCTGTTGATATCCGCATTAACAACACATCAGTCAAGGCTTTATAAGGCTGTGTTTCTAAAGAGAGGAATCACTGAATGCCATCACGTGCCTATCCATATTGATCCAGCTGTCAAACATAATAATGTCAATATTATCAGTCAGACATACTACCTTAAAACAGATTTTAGTGTACTCTGCTTATTTGCAAAAAAGGCTCCTTTTTAAAATTAGTTTCTGAAACTCTGCTGAATTAGTTTGAGTTAAATTTAACAAGTTAGCCTGAATAACTTGAAAAGTATATTTGAAAGAAAACCCCTTATTCACCCAAAGAACTGCTGCCATCTTTAGGAAACTAACTAGAAGGAAAATTCTAAGACCATATCCCTCCCGTGGGTTGTACTCGATTCACAATATTATTACTAAGAAACTTACTGTATCTACCAACTTAAATGAACTTCCATCACGCTGATCTTTTCGGCTGCTAGGATGAGGTGAACCATTTCCCCCAGCACCTGCAGATTCTGGGCTAGGAACAGGAGAAATCTGGCCAAGACTTCGTGCAAATTTTGCCTCCTTTTTATTTGTCACCAGATAGTTGATATCCTTACTAAGGAAACTCTCCACCCTCTAAATATAGAAATATAAAACAAGTAATCATTTCAGGACAGTGGATCAGTAACTCAAATTTTACATTGCATACTTAAAAGTGATAAAACTTCTAAAATAACTAAGTACAAAAACACTGAATTAACAAGAAGATATTTTCTAAATATAAAAACTGAGTTGCAATAGCATCTTACCACTCACAAATTATAAGTTCAATTTCTTAATTTTGTAATCTTTATCAAAAGAATCTTGCAATGTTTTGATTATTATATTTTTTGAACTATCTAGCTGTAATACTTTCCAAATAGAAAAATTCAATACTGCATTGAGGAATAACAGAATAAATCAAGGTAAACCACTGTCTACATAATTTTATGAAACAGAAATTATACTAAGTGTTCAGCTAAACTTAAAGACGTGCATGCAAATGTATTTTAGTCTGCAAGAAGCTATAAATTTACTGAGTTCAGAACCAGCAGAAAAATTAAAGTTTCAGGAGAGTTACCATGTTTCACACCTATAATATTCATGACACTTCTCCAAAAGGTAAAGTCTTTAGTAGATTCATATTCTCATACTCAGTAATATAAATATGCAGGTACTCTATGCTTGTTCTCTTCTATTTTGCTCCTTCAGTCTTTCATTGCTAACTATCAAGTAATTATCACCTATTCGCCTTGTTATTTCTTATCAGCTTATGTAGCTTAATGCATTTCATCTGTTCAACTAATCAGCTTGGAAAGCACAAATCACCCAGACAGCAAGCTCGAAACTGTGCCTTTCAACGGTGCTCTATGCACCTTTTACAGAAGGATATAGAGGCACTTTTGAGTGCACTCCACACAAGTAACAACAAAACGTGGTAATTGATCTTGAGGGTGTTAGACCACCTCAGATGGAGGCATTTACTCCTCAGGATAAGCCACAAAAACTTCCTTTCCAGTCTGTGATTTGTAACCTTACCTTTCACATATGAACTCCTAAAATTCTCTTTTGGAGAGAAAGACAAAATACAGAGTGCACTTATTTGACGTAAATGTAAAACGATGCATTTAATTTGAAACCATGTTAGTGCTACTCCCTACCGCTCCTGTGATTTCAGACAGCACCTTGATTTACAAGCATCAATTTCATAAAGCTGCTCAGTGTTCCTCTGAGTTCAAAGAAGTATTGCCAAAGCAACATTCAAAACAGGTAGCCATTTAAGCAGATCCCTTCTGTCTCTGTGCTTAAAAGGTATTTAATTCTCTAACGGCCAAGTTTTCTCTACATCAATTCAAATATTCAACTTTAAAAGAGAACTAAGCAACTGCACTACTTGTGTTACTATCATATCCTGTACTTGCTTGTATCGAAGTTTCTTCGATACAGAAGAGAGAATTGGGAAAAAGATTAGTACGATGCATATAAAATTTATTATTTAAATAAGAGTATTCAAAAATACTCATTAACATACCCTGTGTAAAAAGCACTCAGTGAAGTTACTGACTTTCAGTAAGCATATACAAAACTCTTCCTTTAATCTCTTTCAGGTTCAGCTGAACAACATTGTAACATGTAAAAATGTCAATGCAGTCAGAAGCAGCAGAAAAAAATCACCTCAAACGATAAAACTTAATAAACTTGGATAAATTTTAAGCCAGGTGAATAATCAATACTGTTGAATACAAACCTTAATAATAAAAACTTTTGTTACAATCAGCAAAGCAGGTTCTCTCAAAAAAACACAGAATAACTTAATGATAAGCTATTGTTTGTATTAAACATTAAGACAAACATAGAAAAATAAAATCCTCTCACAGATAAAGTACATATAACATCAAATGTTATTTATAAAGTAAAAATAATATAAAATGAAAGAAACATTCCATATGTCCAAATTTCCTTCTAGATTAATACAGGTCTCTGTTATAAACTTACCCCTCCCAGCTCTTTGAGGTCCTTTCCTAATTTTTCAGAGATCA